GTGTGTGTGTGTGTGTGTGTGTGAGATGATTGACAGACCAGTTGGTTGACTGGACGTTGGAGCTCATTGGTGCAGCTCAGGCGGAGGGAGGGAGTCGGTGTGAATGAACTAACGAAGCTCAGCTCGGAGTCTGAGCGGAGGATCGTCCTGTGGACTGAGTCACAGTTACACAGTCTGAGTAAAGACAGAGTCCAGTCAGGATCTGGGGTCGGGTGGAAAGATGCAGCACGTTAGTTAACTGATGTGATGAAACAACAGCCTGTGGGTTGAAAATAACATTTAGATGTTTGGCTTTGGACGTTTGGTGTAAAAAATATTATCAAAGCTATTCGCGGTATCTCTTCTGTTCTCCGTGACTCGCCTGTATCGACTCCCTCTTCTGTAGAGTGACTCATATAAAAGGCAACAGGGAGACGGAGAGGAGAGTCCGGTGAGAGCGCTGCGTGTGCGTTTGTCGTCTGGGTCAGACAGGATGTGTGTTTGACTTCCAGCAAAACAAGTGGGAGCGTTTCACCGGGTCAGTGGTTCAGTGGGTCGCTGTGTCGCTCTGGGACTCAGAGAGCTGCAGCTTCAGGACTCTAACTTGTTCACAGACAAACTGAAGGATCCAGGTTGAACGTGACACGTTGTCATTGGACATTGAACACGTGTCAACGAGAGGGAAGTCTAATTACTGTCCGACAGCGTCACTGCCCCGATGCAGATCTAAGTCTTTACCTCAGGGGGCGGGGCTGCACCCCCGAGGACGTGGTTTTGATCACGCTAATGAAGAGTGATGTGTTTGGCGTGAAACGTGCGAGCGAACAGATCGAGGTGTCACAATCTATTCCGCGGCCGGACTCCAATTACCGGAACGCATCATCAGGACGGCAGAATGCTAATTGTGCGGGAAGCGCCGGGTTCTCACCTTGAGCTCGCCATTGACGTTCACGCCTGATTATGTTTGATGCAGAATAATTGAAAGTAAAGTGTAACGGGGGAGGGGGGTCACCTGACAGTGTTTGATCCTTTACAGATTTTCTCTCTTCCATCTTTCTCCTCTCCCAGAATCCAACTGCACCTACTTCAAGTTTTTCACCACCGGAGAAAACGCTGTAATGTTTCAGAAGACGACGCAGAAGAGTGAGTCACTCACCTCTTCGTCTCTCTCGGCCTCTCTCAGCCGCCGTCCCACCTCGTCCACCCACTCCCTCGGTTCTTTGCCCCTTCATCCTCCTCCTCCTCTCCTGCTCTCTCTCTCTTTACTCCTCAGCTCCCATGTCTGTCATCTCTCCCACCTCTGCTCCTCTCTCCCAAAATCCATCCTGCAGTCTTTTTCTGTCCCGTCTCCCTTCACCTCCTCGCCACGCTCTCTCTCTCTCAGATTCGCCATTGTCTGCTCCGAGTGTTTGAAATCTATTCCACCTACGCTGCGTTCAAGCTGCTGTCTAACCTCTCGTTCTCCATAACGTGTTCAGATCACATTCGACGAGTGAAGAACAAACACACGCACACGCTACAGACGTGTCATGATTTAATGAAGTATCTGAAATCACCCGATTGCTTTTGCATGATTGAGATCACACGTCTTCATCATTAATGAATCCAAATAGTATTTTTATGATTTAAGATTATTTTATCGTTGAAATAAACCAACGTGATTTTCGTGTCCTTGTGTTAAAAAGTGTTTTCGATTATAGAGGAAGGAGCTGAGAGGGAAGTCTGCATGTTCGAATAACAGCTTTCGGTTGAAAAGGTAAATTATTTTGAAAAGGTCAAAAATAAAATCGTATCCCTCTGACGGAATTTGTTGTTCTCACCCGTGCAGATCTGAACGTGGCGGCGGCCATGTTGGTCATGCTCAGCCTGTTCCTCATGGTGATGGGAGCCGTCTGCATCACCATGTCTCTGAGTAAAGAAATCATCTTCTTCTTGAAGCCGGCGTCCGTCTGCTTCATCCTGTCAGGTGAGAGAAGACGACAACACGCTCACGAACTTTTCCCACAGTCTCATTTGAAATGTGGACGAGCCCCGGTGACCTCTGACCTCTGTGTGTGGCCAGGCGTCCTGGTGCTCCTCTCCCTCATGGTCTTCCACCAGTCGGTCCTCGCTCTCCTGGCCAGCGACCACACGGTTCCTCTTCACCACGAGCTCTCCTGGTCGGTGTCGTGCCTCGGCTGCGCGGGCGCCGTCCTCATCGTGGGCGGGGTCCTCTTCCTGGTGCTGGCGCTGCCCTGCAGCCCCTGGCGGAGGTGTCTCCCTCAGAAGGACAGCGACAGCTAGTGGCCCGGAGGTGGTGTTGCACTTCAGGTTTCCCAAAGACGTCTCAGCAAACAGATATTACTCGAGTTCAACATTTACAGGTTAACTTAAAAAACCTTCTGTCCGTCAAGTAGACAAGTTAATTTAAATCAATTCTTTTTAGTTTTATCAGCCGGTGTAACGTCAATGCTCAGACGTGTTTGGGAAACAGTCCTGAATTGTCTTACTAATCATCCTGCAGGGTTTGGAGGTCATTTACTGTTCGTTCAATAAAACCACAAAGTTTTAACGGCTCTTTGACACGAGCTCAGTGTCGCACGACACCTGCAGAAGCTTTAAACAGAAACTCAAAGCAGCACTGAGTAACTTTCAGGAACGTTTCAGTGAGCGACAGAACTAATTCTTCATGTTTTAAAGTTTCCTGCTGAACATTGGAGATGAACTCTGGTTGTTAATAACTTCTCAGTGTTTTGAACTGATCTCAGTTCAGCTTCACTCTTCACCTGGAGCTGATGGAGACAGTTGAGTCACAGAGAACAGACGCTCGGAGAGTGAAGGAGGAAACTTTCTCCGTGTTCACACTCACACATCAGACTCACTTTAATCCGGCTGCATCGTGTTCTGTTAAATTAAAAACGATTAAATACATGCTTGTGAATTAATTTACCCTTGTTTCATGTTTGCATTAAATATCTAATGAACCTTTATTTTCACTGAATACAGAAAACTAGTAGTTGAACATTTATATTTTCATGAGACATTTGTTGTGTCCGCTCAACAAGTGAACGAAACAAATATAATAATAGTCCAAAATGTAAAAATTGACGGCAAACAATAAATATATTGAAGCAAAATGAACTCGGACATTAATGCTTTGCCCAAAAACGACATCCTGTTCGCTCGCGTAACAAATGACCGTCGACTCAAACACAAACGGAATGAACAGTTTCTTGAGCTCCGATATGAGAAACTAGTTTTTTAAAAACTTGTTTCTCAGTGATGAGTTTCGCTGCCTTTTTAAAATCCTCAGTGGATGTTTTGTTGTTATTCAGTCACATGAAGAAAAGTTTATTCAGGATGAATTTTTGTCTTTGCTCCATCGATTTTCATTTATGTCACGTTTTGTATTTGTTGTCTGTGTCTGTTCATCGTCAGATAAACACTGTGCAGCATCGTGAGAGGGAAACATTAGTTTGAGTGTCAGACCTGCAGATATGATTCACCTCAGTGTAAAGATTCATATCAAAGTAGAAGCTTCAGTGTTAAATCAGCTGGAAGTTTGAGTCGCTGCCGTGTTTTCACCTCCTCTGTTTTCCTCGGATGATTTATGCCTGAAGAAAAGTGATTTTCTGGGCCGTGAACCATCTCGGGGACTTTTTTGAACTGAATCGATTGAGTCTGAATGACTTCATTTTATTATTAAACATGACATGAATATTTGATGTGCTCCTCTCTCAGGTTTCTGTCTCTCTCTCTCGTTCTGCACTCTGCACACGTCCTCAGCCTCCTCAGAAGAAGCGGCTCCACTTTCCATCTCCTGAAGGAAACGAGTGTTAACTCATCTGACTCGTCCGATCTGAGCTCCTGTATTATTAAGACAAATCTGTGTTTCTGCAGTAATGTTGGTTCACGGATGATATTTGGACGCCATCGGAAACTACGGGAAATAACCCGTGTGCTCAGACAAACATGCCGAGCCAGCAGGTGGAGATAAAGTCTACATCAGCGATCCGTCAAATACCAGAAAAGCAGGGATTTTATTATTTCAACTGTTGCATGAACAAATTATGCCGTGACGTCATTGTTTCCAAAATGCACCGATTAAAACCTCGTGTGGACGAGAAGCTTGAACGCGGAGGGAAGAGTTCGTTTTTTTTGGGAGACATCCTCATTAGAGTCTGAGTGTCTGTTTCACTGGTGGTCTCGAACCCGTCTCCCTCCGCTGACGTTCCCGCTGCTTCAGCTCCCGTTCTCCTGCTCGCAGCACATGTTGACCTCCTTCCAGGCTCACGTCTCTGTGAAGCGTCTCCCACGCTCGTTTGGCTGCGACCTCCTGGTTAAATATAGAGCGTGGCCAATAGGAATGACGCTGTCGCAGGAGAAACACAAACCTGTGAGACAAACCCACTCCTGCAGGAACACGTGTGTGCACAGGAATTCACATACGACGACACAGTGAACCCAGATTCTGTTTTAAACCCAAACAGCTGATGTCTTTTGTTCCCCATAGTCGTCCAGTCCACTTCACTGCACCGCAGAGATTCACATTATCTCCCTCAAATTAAAAGTCGCAGAGTGAAGTGAACACAGATCCTGAGCCGTTAAAACTTTCTCTGGAGTCAGCAGCTCCTCCTGCGTGAGGAGTCGCAGCTCTGCAGAGAACCAGACACCGTGAGCTTCTTAAGGAGAAAACAAGCAAACAGCATCTCAGTAAATCATCCAGAACCGAGTCACGCTGTCACCAAACTCGAGAGCTCGTCGACATCGTTTTGAGTAAACATCACAGTCATTGAAACCAGGAAAACTAAAACTAAACAAGGAGGGAAAACAACAAATACTGAATTCAACAAGATGCACACAAAACTGATTTAACACAAAAACACTCAAATAAATAAATAAATACAAAAACATTTACGCCGACATAAAATTAAAGCCGTGTGACTAACCTCGAGTCTTGTTATGTAATTTAATGACTGATGGAATAAATTATTTTCAGAGCGAGCAGAGGAAAATATCCAGTGTCCCTCAAACAGATTAGTTCATATTCTACAACACAACATTTAAACCAAGATCTAATTTCCTCCTGTCAGTGCAGTTTGTCTCTGTGTCCATCATCAGGCTGCTTACGTGGACATATCACGTCTCCCAGCAGGAGGACATGGATCTTATTGGACTAAATGTTTTCTTGTAAAATCTAAAAATGTTTCACAGCGACATGTTTGGAATAAAGAGAAGAACAAATTCTAATGTCGGTCACTATCCAGAGAATGTTTTTCCTGAGGGTTGGAGCGCAGATGGTTTGGACGTCAGGGACAGACGATCTCTCTGCAGCTCTGGAAACCGTCTCATGTTGCTTCCACACCTCGAACACGGAGGTGCTGAGAGACAGACCCCCCCCCCCCGATGGTCAGCTGAATGTGACCCGCACCTCCGCAGCACCGTTTCAAAAGGGCTCCGAGGTTTCTTCAGGATTCACTTGCTGCAGCTTCAGGACTCCGAAGATGGACACTCAGGGTGGAGCTGCATCATCACAAGTTATTCACTCTCAACGTCACACACACACACACTGTAGTACTGTGGAGTACTGTAGTACTGGGGAGTACTGCGGAGTACTGTAGTACTGGGGAGTACTGCGCCTGAAGGTGCTGATGCTGCCAGTGATACTGTCATGATGTTACCATGGCAACCAATTGAAGCTCAGAGTCAAGTACAGGTAGACTCCGCCCCCCCCCCCCCCCCCGTAGGCGATGAGGACAGGACGAACGTGAGACAAGATTCTTGAGTCCCTGAAATACAACGTGAAACTGAAACTAACAGATCGGATGAAACATGAAGCTTCGGACTCGGAGAGGAAACGACCCTCAGTTTATAAAATGTCCTTATTACCGGACGCTGTTAATATTCATTATTATTAATGTGACACTTTGATTGGATCCCACACATGAATGAATTCATCCAATTTAGTTCGTTTCAAAGGAAATATTCGAGGTCAAGTTAACATAATAAGTAAACAGCAAACAAGCGAACACTATAATACACGTGTGAGAGCAGATACATGTCAAATACTGGTACGAATACGCAGGAGTGAAGCTTGTGTGTTGTGTGTTTCATATTCCTCATGAGCGAGCGGTGCTCAGAAGGTTTCCTATCGGGGGATCTCTCTGTGGGAGCAGGATTTGAGGAGCGAGAGGAAATGAGAGCGTAATCTTGACTGGCAGACATTCCCACCGGCTCACCGGCGTCCGTCAGCTCGCCTGTGAGCCGTTATCGGGCGGCTGCAGGCGGCAAAGGAGGGAGAGACAGCCGGACAGCGAGCTTCAGGCTGAACGAAGGGAGGACATTTAAAAAAAGCAGGATGTCTTGACTCGTGTTGACTCATCAAAGCTGACACGAGGTGGAGGCTTTATCGTTCCTCGCTGCGTGTTAGACAACACGGGAGAGACAGGTGAGCCACGTGAGAGAGAACCCGACTGTGGAGGGTTCCGGAGTACTGAGCTCTTCTTGAACGTTGACCACACAGAGACAGAAATGGAGACTACACCTGCAGACAACACTGTCCCTGATAACAGGGCCGCACCACAGAGGGTGTGGTTTACCCGGCACTAGAAGGCTGGCCCGAAATCTCTCCAGAGCTTGTCCCGCCCTTATTGGTGTTTCCGAGCAAACTACAAGTTTTAATGTCGCTTGATTTATTTAACAAAGTTATGGTCGACTGTTCCTGCTGCACAAAGACGGAACATCAGAGGGACTCTACGGCCGAGAGACCAACTAATTAAAACTCTGACACCAAATCCCTTTTCCTCCGCTGCATCAACCAAACTTGTCTCCGATGATCCGCCAGCAGATCTTTTGTCAGCGGGATTAAAAACTGTCACATTTCCCCTGGGCTGACAGTCGTTGTTCTCCAGAGGAGACGTCTCAGCGCTATCAAGGGAACGCATCGTCATAATTACTGCCTGTCACGGTCTGCACGGTTTTCCTTTTTTAGATTTGTGAAATGACTGTCTGCATCCATCCATCCATCCATCCATCCATCCATACATCCATCCATCTATCCATCCATTCAGGATGTCTCCTCCCAAAATATTACCTGGCTGCTCTCCTACAGGTCACTCTCATCCTATGGAACAGGGTCTAAGCACAGCTAGCGTCAAGTTCAAGAAACTTATGCTACAGAACGATTGCTGGGACTGCTCCCACGTACCTAACTGCCCTTATAAGGACATATGTTAACTCCCGTACGTTGTGTTCGTCGAATGAGCGTCGTCTGGCTCTTCCGTCTGTACAGCCACGGCAATCCAGACTATTCACCTTCGTAGTTCCACGTTGGTGGAACGAGCTGCCAAACACCACCAGAGCAGGGGCGTCCCTCTCTGTCTTCAAGAAGACCGAACTCTTCAGAGAACACCTTCTCCCCTAGCTAGCACTTGCCTAGCACCACTCTTCCTCTTTCTACCACTCCTCTGCTTTCTAGCACTACTGGTCTCTCCTTTCCTTTCCCCCCACCGCCACCTCCTGCAAATTAAAACTGAATCTCTGCGTTTAAATGTAGTTTTTATTGTTACACTAAGATCTTTGTTCAGATTCAGGGTTTCGAACCTGAAATGCAACACAGACCAGCTGCACTTCACGGTAGCAACACATTATTTGTAATGTATAAATTCTGGTGCAGAGGTCGTGTGTATTTGTTTACATGTCGTCATTCTAACCTATTTGCATTTATTTTCAGTTTTGCAGCCGTCGCACCGCTGTGGACGATGTCAGGAGATTATCTGGAGGTCAGTGCATGTCCCAAAGCTGCTTTATCGTCTCGTGCAAAGAAAACTCAGGGGAACGTAGATGAAACCAAAATGGTGGTTTAGTGAAAGAACATGGAGAAGGCAGCTTACATGGAGGCGAAGTCCAAAAACCAGGCGGAGCAGCTGAAACCAATGAACAAATCCAACGGGGGGAAGATGAGCGGGTAAAAAGTCCAAACACAGAAGACACTAAAGTATAAAATACACTCAGGAGACCGTGTCCACTGGGACGAGGACAATCAGGCTACAAGACAAAGCATGGTATGTGTGGGGTTTCCTGGGGGGAAGCACAGGGACTGGACTAATCAGGTGAGTCAGGTGACGGGGAAGCAGGAAGTGAAACGGCAGGAAGTGAAACGGCAGGAAGTGACCAAAACAAGACAGGAAGTCTAACAACAAAAAGAGGCGGTGGATTATGACTCAATAATACTCGACACAATCAATTTTCATATAGAACTTTATTGAGTATATCTATATATTTATATATGTAAGTATATGTACCTTATATTTTTTGTCTTTTCCAGTGAGGATTATTGCATCATGTCCCATTTTGTCCTTTACCGTCTGCTCAGAGGAAATAAACCAGTTTGTGTCAGTAGCCAAAGTTTTGTGAAAAGGAGCCGGTGACTGGTTTTTAAAATGTTTTAACGTCAGGATGAAGAACCGAACGTTCACTTTTAACCGACAGAATAAAAACCACTGAGGACACAGTTTACACCGAGCTCACTTCCTCAGCACTCGGGCTACTGACGTGGTTTCTCAGGCATCTTAAAGCCTCTAGAGCCCAAAGGTGTCGGGGCTCGGAAAACAATATAACATTTAGAATATCTATACATACCACCACGCAAAAATAAATAGATTATTATAAATTCTATCGCCTACAGTTATACACTAGTCAGAACATTAAAAAACACAGATCATTAGGCTACGTTGGTAATGTTTAGAATGTAAAAGACTAATTAAGAGAAAATGGTTGTGAAGGGGACATATTAACGACAACATCTGGAGTAAATTAGAGGAAATAAAGAAAAACAACCGAAGGAGAAGGAAAACATTGGTGAACAAAAGGGAATACAAAGTACATTTGTACTGTTTGATACCTGGAACAACCTCGATGGAGGAAATTAAATAAAATACTGGACGATCTCACCTCCATCGTGTTTTGCTTGAAATATTGCGACTGTTAGAAAGTCAGGTTGCCAGCGACTGACTGGTTTCACCGTCAGTGTGAGTGTGGAGGTAAGTCAGGGCTGTTGCTGAAAAATAAAAGCATGCACGCTCAGTCAACTCTGCCTGATTTAAAAAAAAAGAAGATACAACTGATGAGGATGAATTTACACAGAATCACCCTCTCACTTTTGTGCACATGCTTTCCACGTGACACCACTGACTCCAGTGTACACAAGCAAGAGAAAACCAACTCCTGGAGAGAACACAGAAAAACTTACAAAAAGGAAAAACCAAAGATTTCAAAATGTATAAATACCCTGCAATAACCATAACGACCATAGAAACACCAGCAACATGATATTAATACTCAAGGAGTTACAATCCCCTGTAACCTAGAGATGATAATCGATCACTCAGGATGAACAGACAAGCCAAAGATTACCGTTTACAGACATTATGTGCTTCTGGTGAAGTCAGTGTAATCCATATTATACTCAGTAATACATTTATTATTCTAGAGTGTGAAACGGTTTATAGCTAAAACAGACGAGCGGAGGGGTTGTGCTCTTCTCTCGTTCCCTCCTCCTCCGACGTGTCGTCGGGTTAAATCCCTTTTTCAAACTCAGCGGATCCAGAAGAGTTCAGCATGTTACTGTCCGATGATCAGATCTATAGAACTCGTGTTTCAGTCCAGAACTTTATTGAGTGCGTCCGCTGCAGGTTGGTTTTCTCCTCCTTTCAAAAAAAATAAAAATTATTGTCAAATTCCTCTTTATAATTAATATTCAATGTGCTTTTTTTTTTTGCTTGGCTTGATCAAACGTTTTATGTTTTATAACTTTAAACTTTTTTTTAAATGGAACCTCGAACTAAATCTCCAGCCCCCTGAGTGTAAACTGAACTGACCCCCACCCGGTTCATTCTTGTGGTTGCAGCCCTTTGCAGGAACACTCAACGTGTGCACGCTGCCTCAGAGCCTTCGGGATTTTAACGTCGCCATAAACAGTCATAAAAAAAAACACCCTGAAATCAAGTTTAGGCAACTAAACATCTCACAGTGTGAAAACCTTCCATTCAATCCAGTTTTGTGCATTTAGCGATGTCTCCGCTGCCTAATGATGGAAAATTAATCTTCTAAGGGAAGTTACTGTGACCTTGAATCGTCAGCTCGAGAAAAGTGGCTTAATCCATCTGGACACATGTTAAAGAGTCAAACTTTAGTTTAGACTCTGTGGGTTTAAAATATATCTGAATTCAAACTGAATGTCGATGAAGGAACTAACTGACTCCCCTGCCCCTTCAGCAAGGCACTTAACCCCCAACTGCTGCTGCACAGGGAGACTGGTCTCACTGGGCACCTCCCAGTTTATTCTGTCAAATTAAATATGAAGAGAGAAGACGACAAAGAAAACAATCCCTGAAGCCTCCATCGCCTCACCGCTGCACACTTAACAAGGAACCTTTCAAAATAAAGGTCATGACCAATTTAAGGCAGGCGTCATGAGCTCGTGATGTCAGGTGTTTTATGACTGTTTATGATCACGGTGGTTGATTATGGCAGGTAAACCTCAGGCTCAAGGACGGAAACGTTGACGTGTCACCCGCACATGTTCGACCTCTTCCTCTCTTTCAACTCAGAACCTCTCTAACGTCCGTATGAATTATTTTGTTATGATGCTCCCTCTCTCTCTCGCTGCTCTCCGAGGTTTAGACTGGCGTTGTTTTCCTGTTCAGCGTGTCTGAGTTGCTATCCCTGTCTCTCTTGGCGGTCAGTCGGTCCAGGGTTCCCACGTTGCCCCTGTCCCTCTCCATGGTGGCTGTGGAGATCTGGGCGGGCTGGGCCGGTGTGGTGGCCGATGTGGACGTGTTCAGCGGCGCTGCGTTCTGGGCGACGGCCGCCGCTGCTGCCAAGTTGGATTTGGAATGAGATGGGAGCGTACCGCCGCTTATCACCGCTCCTCCACCTCCGCCGCTTCCGCCGGAATCTTTTGGAAAGTAGTTGTGGAGTTGGTAGAGCGTGGCTCGGTCCACCGTGCCGTAGAGAGGTGGGGCGCCGCCTCCCAGGCTGCCCAGCTTGGAGTCCCTTGAGAGGGTGTACATGGAGATGTCGCCGCCGCCTCCGCTTCCGCCGCTGCTGGTGTGGTGTGGGTTGGGCAGGGTGGCCACAGAGAAGGGCGGGGCAGAGGGCGGCAGGCTGAAGGTTTTGGACGCACCAATGGGCGAGGTCTCCTGCGAGTGGGGCGGGTCGGTGGACCTCGAGCTGGAGCGAGAGCGCCGCCGGAAGCGGTAGCTGGGCAGCCGCAGCATGGCGTGCGTGGTGCTCTTGAAGAGGTCGGTGCGAGAGCGGCAGCGCAGCTCCTTGTTCTTCTCAATGTAGATGTTGACGGCGAGGACACCCACCATCTCGGCCAGGATGAACGACAGGCCGCCGAAGTAGAAGGACCAGCCGTACGAGTAGTGCCACTTCTTATCCTCGTCCTTCTTCGGGGAGATGTCGCTCAGCGCCGCCGAGATGTACACGATCACTCCGATTATGTTGCTGAGGCCTGAGGGAAGACACGAGACACGTTAACCTGCAGCTCCGTTAACCTGATCTGCAGCCACACACGCAGGAATCGAACACGTGCATATCAAACTCAAAAAGCCACAAACGCCTGTGCCATACCTGCAGCCACGAAGAGAATTCCTCCGCCCAGTATAATGTTCCGTTTGCTCTTGTAGAAGCTACTGGAAGCAACGCACACTCCGCCCAGCAGGAGCAGTATGGCGCTGAGGATAGGGAAGATGCTGGAGGCTCGCACCACACCTGAGACGACAACACGGATACGTCAGTCTTTCCCCTGCGATGTCACGTTTCCTGAACTTTTCTCGGACTCTACTGTGTCTGATAAGTAAAAATACTTCTCATAAGGCACAGACGGAGTTTTTCTCGATTCGACACCATCTGAAGGTGCAAAGTTAACAGCCTCGTGACACTCCCGGGAGAAAGTGTGACAGAGACTCTCTGCAGCCGACACTACAACTTGGCTCCGGTGCAGCAGTCGTCTGTACACACGAGGCTTCACGCGGTGTTTTAAACAAGAATTTAAGATCACATCTTGGCCTGGTGGACAGGAATAGATTTTTATGTAACATACAGATGGATCATAAACTCTGTGGAGCAGCAGGTTCACGGCTGCAAGAACAGAATCTGTCGTCACAATGCAGGCGAGATGTGAAACCTCAGTCCTGAGCTGAGAATAATCCATTAGTGAAGGCTGTTCAATCCATCTGAAAAAAAAAAAAGCTTTCTGTACACCCCCAGACTCCAAACCTCATGCACCTGGGCATTCACACACTCTCACACACTCACACACACACACACACACACWCACACACACACACACACACACACACACACACGAACACACACCTCCAGGAACGCTTTGCTTGAATCTGACATCCGTGCATTGATGTCCGCCCACCATCCCCTTCTGTCCTTTCTCTATCTGCGTGATGGAAACTGTGTGTGTGTGTGTGTGTGTTCCAGTACACACTGATCTAATGTTTCTATACAGGCCTGTGTGCATTTGTTGTTCACTTATAAATGTGTGTGTGTGTGTGTGTGTGTGTCAGTCACTCACGCAGCAAATACTCTGCAGCATCCTGGTCGTAGTCTGCGTCATCTGGGAAATGATTGATCTGGGAACACACGCCTCGCTTCAGGCCTGAAAAAAAAGACAGCGAGGAAGAGGAGGAGAGAGTGAGGAAGAAGATGGTGGCAAGAATAGGTAGCGATATCACATGGAAGAGAGGAAGATGGGGAAGAAGACAGAACGGCAGGAATGGTGGAAACAATAAAAAAAAAAAAGAAACAGACTCATTTGTGTGCAGCATGACTGAGGGGTGGGGGGGTGACAGATGCTGAGAATAATTAAGAGGAAGATGAAGAGGAGGTGAAGAAGGTGAGTGATGACAGAACATGTGGAACCACAGTCTGCTGCTGTCACTGTTGAATAAAGTCAACCTGTCCAGACTGTTGTACAGGTGCTTGATTCACCTTCAGATCCTGTCGACAGATTTCATTTATTTCATTTGATTCAAACACACAAAGAAAAGCTCTTCATCGCACTTCTCTTATTCACGATAAACTAAATGCCTCCGATCGAAGGAGGACAAAGATGCCACAGGTCAAATCTTTGCGGATCTCGCGCGGTGCATGTGTCAGATTGTTAATTCCAGCTCTTCGAGTCTTATTCCACTGAACCTGTTTGTCTGGCAGCTGCAGCGACACGGGGAAACCACTGTATCAGTCAGTGGATGAGTCACCACTCACATCTGAGCTCCGGGGCTTCACGATGAGCTTCACGGCGACGGCAGTGCGTGTCTGTACGAGCTTTAATGTAGGAAAGTGGAGGAAAAACGAGAAGAAGCTTTGAACCGAACATTGTGGAAATCTGGAATATCTGAACTGTGCAACAACCCAGCGATGCTCGAGCTTTTACAACATCTCATTATCATGTTTACTGATGCATTATGGGAATAGCTGGTGCCGCAGATGAGATGAGCGTGGATAAGATCTGCTTGTGGCTGAGAAATTTCAGGGCCGTGAGTTTTAAGGTTTTTTTCAGTAGCGGCGTCGGCTGCTCAGGGACGTCAGCTGTTTGAATGGGCAGCAAAGTGCAGCAAAGTGCAGTTTCCATCAAGTCGTTGGTCCGACCTGCGGTCGCGTGGCGGTAAATGTCTGAGCCGAGCTTGAATGCAGCTCTCGAGATTCAGAAACCTGAACCAAGTGGTGCATCGCATCTCACATCATGTGACTGCGCCACTGTTGCACATCACTCATATTACATGCGTGTGAGGTGCACGGCATTTTATTGATCCAGATCTAATTTAGGAAGCAGAACAGAATATGTATGTGCCTCCTACAGCAATAATGATCTACAGTGGTAACACAGATCTATATAACACAGATCTACAGTGGTAACACAGATCTATATAACACAGATCTATATAACACAGATCTACAGTGGTAACACAGATCTACAGTGGTAACACAGATCTATATAACACAGATCTACAGTGGTAACACAGAGAAATGTAAAATATTTTTTGGTTCATGTTGAATCTGTCCGGCCGCCACAGTCTAGATAATAAATGGGAAACACTTCTTTACCGAATATAATTACCTTTAATTAGATTATATTATTATTATTATGTATAACGTACGACTGAGAAAAAATAAGGTAATCTCCAAAATGAATCTCAACAAATATAAATATTAAAAATATTTTATTTTAAAATGCTGAAAATGAGTAGATCATGTTCACGGGCAAAATACATCCTGTAGATATTTTATAATGTGACGACAGCGTCATCGCATTCTGATGAAACTGAATTTCTAGCGGACGGAGCGGAGACACCAGATCTGAAATCAGGTCCTGCGTGGTTTTCTGTGGTGATCGTCATGGTAACAGGACACACGTAGCGTCGAGGTTGTGTCACGGCAACAACTGCAACTCGTCAATCCTGTGACATCGTTCTCATGCACTGGTTGAGAGTGTGTGTGTGTGTGTGTGTGTATTAATGTCAGATCTCACTGACGAGCACGCTGAACGAGCCCCCCCCCCCGATGACAACATGACCAAAACACACATTTGCCCCCCCGACACAGCTCCACACGTTCGGTACCTTCCAGGCAGCAGATCCTCCAGAGGCCTGAGTGGGTGAGGGCCCCGGGGTCCTTCTTGTCCTTGTTGTTGGAGTCCTCCTGGGACGAGTTGGCCGTGCTGTTGCAGATGAAGGCCCGGGCGTACAGCCAGTAGTCCGTACCGATGGCCACCGTCATCAAGGCAAAGGCGGCGAACGCCCCCATGGTGGTCAGCAGCACCTGGATCCCCCGCTCACACCACACCATCGCCGGGCGCGGGAGGAAACTGATATCTGAGGAGGAAACAGAAACTCCTCTGAAGTCGTTTGTCGTGAAGGTCTGAGGAGAAATAAAAGGATCCGTCACGTGGACTGTCGGTGTTCGAGGATCCATCAGCCCCGCGGTGGCGTCCTTTGTTCGATTGTCTCCACTGAGGACGTCTGTCTTTTTGTTTGACTGATAATTAGCAGGATTATGGAAAAACCTCTGGATGGTTGACCAGTAAAACTTAGTGGGAGCTTCAGAGAAGAACTCATTAATTTCAGGATCTGTTTTCCTCTTTCTTCAACTTTGAGATTCAGGGAATAATTCATGATTCTCGACACGTTTACAGGACGAGCAGATCCAAATAAAAATCCAGATCTAGAGAAATTTAAACGTGGTTTTATACCAATATATTTTAAACTGATACCAAGTCTAAGGACAAGTCTGACTAAGTCTCATGAGGATGATGAGGATGATGATGAGGATGATGACTTAGACACAGGCTGATCAATAACAGATTATTGATATATGATTGGATCCATCAGCCGTGAATTTTAAAACAACTTTATTAAAAGAGGGGCCCCTTGACCGGGCCCCGCCGCCTCAGTATCTGATAGTCTAGCTGCGCCCCTGACCCTTCGACACTCGATGTCACCACTTAAACTTTTGCACAGTTTAAGAACTGAACTGAATTATTGATGCATTAACAGAATCATCGTCCCTCCCGGGCTCCTGCAGCTCGAGGGTTTGAATCGTTCCGTTATATTCTGGGTGAGCACACTGGAGCGGGTTCTAATCATAAAAAACACAACGTACACAGCCCGAGGCGGAAAAGAAACGTTGGCAGCCCGCAGAGGAACAAAATGCCGACCCCGCTGCATCAACCAAAATATAAAACAACAAACCGTGGAGGGTGGAGGACGGACCGCTGGGAGACACGGAAGAAAAAAATGTTCATTCTGTTTCCTCCTAAATATCACAACTAGAATAAAGTTAGAGAAATATTTTATATTTTCACAGCAGGTAAAAACACATTTCGATTCAAGAGACGTTTATCGGCAGGATTTTTACAGATATGGGCAGAAATTGTGTTTGGAGGTCGATGATGAGACGAATAAAAAGACGTCAGAGGAGCAGGACGGAGGGACGGAGGTTTCTGAGGACGTTAATAAAAATAGGAGGGTGGAGGAGACGAGGGGATGATGAGAGACGGAGAGGAGGGAAAGGAGAGAGGAGGACAGGGACAGGTGAACAGAGAGAAGGACGATGAAGGTAAATCGAGAAACGACAGATTCGTCGTGCTTCAGGAAATAAAACATGTGAGGAGCTTGATGGGGGGGGGGGGGGGGGTCCACATGTTTATATTTGTTCAGTTACTGAGATTTCAACTAATACCTAATGTGTACTTATACACTATTCTGTGTACACTGTATACATTCGTTTTTACTCCACTTATATTTTTTCTGTATCTCCTTACATGAAGTATTTGTACTTATAATTACTCCACTGATGTTTATTCCTCTCGCTGCTGAAACGTGTGGGACCAATGAAGAATTATCTCATCTCGAGTTAAGATAAGATGATCTTATCATAATGCAAACACTGGATCGCGGGGGGGCATCACAGGCTTTGAAAAGAATTCGGCTAATTCAATGGGCCTGTGGGCTGTTTCCATGGCAACACAAATCCCAAAATAACAGCGAGCACTGGTACTCTGACCCTCGAGGTGACCCGTCTGCTGGAATATGCAAAAGGTGATTCCCAGGGAGACATCTGGTCTCTGTCTGTCCACCGACGTGTCGTTTAAACGTCTGAGGAGCTGTTTCACTCCGGGTGTTTGTATATCTGTGTTTTTACTTATGGCTCATTTCAACTTATCTTTCTCACAAATATTTGTTCCTGTCCTCAAAACCAACTCAAACATCCATCATCACAGTTTGGTTTCATACGACTTTAAGGAATCTGCTGAATTGTTTGTGCATGAATGAGTAAAATCAAATATTTGTTTGTGTAAGTGAATATTACTACAGTATCTTGAGTCTCTTGAACTTAACGAGGAGCTAATCTAATGATCTGACATGTGACCTCACAACGACGTTTGATTTCTAATCTGTTAAGTCGTTAAATTGTATTTTGTATAGTTTAAAACCACGATAATCAATAAAATACATCATCATGTTCTTTCAAAATAAAACTTTTTGTTTGTCTTACGTGTGAAGCTCGAATCTTCAAATTCTTGAAATCTTGGTCGTTACTTTTATTGAGAGAAGATTTAACACGAAAAACTTTGATGGATGTGGTGAATTTTTTCCCATACTCTCACACTGAAATATTTCAAACCAGTGAAACATCCGGTTAACACATGTTGTGTAAATACATGATTCAGGTTTCAGAGCTAAAAACTGAGTTTCCTTCAGCAGACAAGAGGCGGCACAGCCCCACGTCTCCTCGCTGCTGCTCTCGATCCTGATTAGATAACGTCAATAAAGAATTGTTTTTTAATCATCCTTCTACGACTGTAGGAAAAAATAAAGAGCTGTTGTCGTCGGGAGCCACAGAGCGGAAAGACAGAAGAAGGAAAAATGAAGCGACGTTGATCACTTCAACATTTTCAATTCTCCGGAGTCGTCATGTGTCAACACCTCTGATCTGAGAACATTCAGCTCGGTTACACAAATACCAGAACACATTCATCCAAACCACCTGCGCTCCGTGCACATCTGCACTGTGTGTGTGTGTGTGTGTGTGTGTGTGTGTGTGTGCACGTATGGGTGGTTTCCTGAATGTCCGTGCTTGTTTGTGTGTTTGAATGTTTCCGATCAGATGTGCATGTATATATGTGTCATGTATGTGAATATGTGTGATCAAATCCACATGTGCATTTGTGTGTGTGTGTGTG